GGTTGCCAGGATAACAATACTTGCCTGACTGCATTTTGCCAAGTGTAAGATTTGGTGGAGGGGGATTATGGTGTGGGGATGTTTTTCAGCAGTTAGGCTTGACCCCTTAGTTCCAGTGAAGGGAACTCTTAAGGCATCAGCATACCAAGACATTTGGGACAATTATATGTTCCCAACTTTGTGAGAACAGTTTGGGGATGACCCCTTCCTGTTCCAACATGACTGCGCACCAGTGCACAAAGCAAGGTCCATAAAGATATGAATGAGCAAGTTTGGAGTAGAGGAACTTGACTGGCCTGCACAGAGTCCTAACCTCAACCTGATAGAACACCTTTAGAATGAATTAGAACGGAGACTGCTAGCCAGGCCTTCTCATCGGACATCAGTGTCGGACCTCACAAACGCTCTTCTGGAAGAATTGTCAAACTGTCCCATAGACACACTCCTAAACTTTGTGGACAGCCTTACCAGAAGAGTTGAAGCTGTTATAGCTGCAAAGGGTGGGCCAACTCAATATTGAACCCTATGGACTAAGACTGGGATGCCATTAAAGTTCATGTACAAGAAAAGGCAGGCGTCCCAATATTTTTGGCAATATGGTGTAGCTTGATGTATTAAGTTTGCCTGGCACTCAACTTTAAGCTTTCTAAATACAAATTTGTTAGTTTACAAATAATGGCCTTGAGGTATCTTACCTGCTTTTTTTTTGCTGATCCTTAACTGATAATCAGTAAGGATTTATATTTCTGGTAAATAATATTCATTCTTCTAAAGTCCCATTTCTCTAAAACGCTGTTCTGGAAGAATGGTCAAACATTCCCATAGACACACTCCTAAACCTTGTGGACAGTCCTTCCCAGAAGAGTTGAAGCTGTTATAGCTGCAAAGGGAGGGCCAACTCAATATTGCACCCTACAGACTAAGACTGGGATGCCATTAAAGTTCATGTGCGTGTAAAGACAGGAGTCCCAATGCTTTTGGTAATATATACATATATATATATATATATATATATATATATATATATATATATATATGACAGTGCTGCATCTCTACAGACTTATCTGACATATAATAGTTCCAGGGCAGTAATGCAATAATAAGGTCATCAGGTATATCCTCACTAAACTACAACATGCAAGGCACATGAATGATGACATGGCTGGTTCAAAAATACCCTCCTCTCAGAGTGTATTGCCATTAAAGATATTCCATTTAAAGCTCACATCTGGTTCTATGTCATGTTTAGTTAAGCTATATTTTGTAGGACATAAGGTCCAATTTGTGCAAGAAATAATAAAAAAAACAGCTATGTGATGAGCACATGTAATGACCAGGTTCACAGACAAATAGGCAAACTTTGCATACACCTGCTTCCAAACTTATAGACCAATATTAGAGCCCCCTTTGTAAAAGAATGACTTGCGTATAACAGCTATTATACTATTACTGCTCTAAAATGTCTCTTTAGAAGCGCAGTAGCAATGACTGTGTTGAACACAAGCGTACCATACATCCACTCTGCTCAATGTGTGCTCATTACCAGATAATGGAAAACACTATTCTAGCAGCCAACTCCACAATAACATTCCTAAAATTGTGAGGCGTCATTATCAGAAAGTAACATTCCATGAACAGGTGGAGAATTACAATTTCACAAACTTCTTGACGTGCGTAACCCTTACGTCTGGTACACACAATGAGAAAACTGGACAAAATAACCCCCAGCTTTTGGAGTGATCGTCTGGTAATCTGTTTTAGTACACAGCTTTCAAGAGCTGATCACAACAGTTCATGAAAAATATCCAAAGGAACAAGCTTAAACATTTTATTCGTAAGATAACAGAATTAATGATTTTTGTATAATTAGTATAGTATTTGTAGAAAAAAAATCAACTGACTAAAACCATGCATGCTTGCAAATTAAAGAATACATTACAATACAATAAAATACATTACATCACTTCTGAAGTTGTATTCTGACTTACCAGAATTTACATAACTTTAGTAACCTACTTGTTTTCAATATCAGACTAGCATGTAAAAAAGAAAAAAAAATCGTGATCATTCATGCAATATTCTCATTGTGTGTAATAGACTTTACTTAATACAGGTTTGCCTTGCTATGTGGGTGTTGGGGAGGTCTAGAGCCTCCTTAAGAAATGCAGCCACAAAGCCTTTAGTGAAACTGATGTCAACTAATACATTTCTAAGTTAACAAACAAAATCAAATGAGGCATCTTATGGTATCTTCACAATTATCCCTGTGTCTGGATCATCCTGAATCCCAGACTTAAACTGACCTTGGAGCCTCTGCATTAACCAAGTTGAGATAAATGCTCTTCCCCATGATGATGGTCCTTGTCCTCTGTTGTGTGCCTGACAAATGCTACAAATTTAGGGGCAGTGAGGTAACTGCAATTTGACAATTGAATGAGAATAATGGTGTTATATGGGGATATTTCAACTTAGAAAGAGATTAAGGCTGCATATACAGACTGGACTTATGCTTCAAGGGGCAGCACAGGAAACACATTAAATACCAATTTTGGGCTAAAAGTAACTCACCCTACCACCTTGTCCTCTCTGATTGCTGTGTTAAAACACAAAAAATTATCTAACTGTATGTTTTCACTTACTTTAAGCCACAGCCACATGATCATTCAGTCGATTCATTCTCTTCTCTGTTTAATCTCTGAATCAGCCCTTTATCTGGGTGTCCATATCACACTGCCTGTGTGACATGGACAATTTCTATTGTCTGAACAGCAGAGGAGTTCTCCCAGGTTCCAGAAGAGAACTGACATCAGTTTGAGGGGAGAGAAGAGAAGCAGATGCCAAGGTTAAACTTGCTCCACTGGACTAGTGTCCCTTGCAGGTCGAAACAGAGTCAGAAAAAAAAACCTGATTGGGGAGACTAAGGTGAGTATAACTCACCAGGTAAGGAAAACTAAACATCTGGTACAAAGGAGTTGGGATGGAGGGATGGAAAAAAAATTGCTTTAACACAGAGTTGGGATTTAGTTATGGGGAAAAAAAGATTCGCAGGGCTGAGGGAATAAAGTCCATCTCTGCCCCTCCATCCCAACACCTACTGTGCATCAAACAAGCATTCACTACCTTTTTAATTCAATTATGTGTATTTACTTTTCTCGACAATTCCATGGCAAGCATACCAGGGGTCCTTATGGTCACCTCTTATATATATAGCTTAAATCTTCTTTTGAAAAAAAAAAATTTTAAGTGACAAAGCACCCTGGTGGTGTTATCATTTATCCCAACCCTCACTTTAGCTAGTAGGTTTTGTCTTCAAATAAAGGGGATAAAAGAAAAAAAATGGCCTGTGAAAAAAAGAATGGTGTTGATGATGAGATGAGTGCACACTGTTGTCAGTTGCCTAAAAGTAGCAGAATACTGTATTTTTCATGGCAGCTGTCCTCTAATTTAGATTAAAGTGGGATGGTCAGTCTGGTGGTATTTTCATCTAGAATAGTATTAACATGTCTCAGTATTCATTATGCCTACACAGAGTCATTCAGAATAGGAGTTTGAGCTCTATTAATCACTGTTCATTAGCAGAGTTAAAGACAGATTCTACATTGAATGTTAGTACAAGCCCGAGAATAAAATGCACTGTAAAAATGACTTATCTCTGCCTCTGTAGCTATTATCTTTGCAATTACCATTTTACGAGCATTGTTTCTGCAACATTCAGAGCATGAGCACTCAGGCATATACTGTCGCTTCAGGTTTGTAGTGACTCCTTTTCAATTCAAGCAGAATTTTGTAATACTAGGAGTGTTAACATACAAAGCCATTGACAGATTAATTATTTTCTAGGGGAAAAAAATGATGTTAACCTTGAGGGAAAAATTATGTCATTACAGAATTATTAGGGGTTTTCTATGAAAATTTAAGTGAAGTTGGTCTTACCATGCATTTGCTTATATTAGTTATCGTAACTGCATAAAAAAAATGGAATCTGGCTGTTATTGGCAACATTTACCTTTTACCATTTTTCTACTTTCATATTGTTTAAAGTTAAATAACCTTAATGAGTAGGAAGACATCAGATAAATGCAAATTAAACTTAAGGATAAAAACAGAGGGATCCCTGGTAGACAGAGTTCCAAGAAGCAGTTGGAACATAGGGAGTACACTTTGGGGGAAGAAAAATGATGAATAAACTGAGTGAAAATGGTTACTTTTTGGTGGCACATGCACGTACTTTCTATAGTGTATAGTTGTATACTTTGTATAGTTGTATACAGGGGTGGACTGACAACTCATGGGGCCCCCAGGCAATAGGGGATCATGGGGCCCCTGTGTCCTTGCCCAAACTCAAAAAAGCCTATAAAAAAGGTACCAGGGGCATATCATGGGGCCCCCTACTGACCCCCGGGCCCTCGGGCAGTGCCCGAGTTTCCAAATGGTCAGTCCGCCCCTAGTTGTATAGTGTTAAATAACCTTAATGAATAGGAGGATGGAAGATAAAATGCAGTTTACATATAAGAATAAAAACAGGGGTATCACTGGTAGAGAGAAGAAGCTAGAGCATAGGGAATAAAAGTGCGATGAAGAAAAGTAAATGTTAAAGTGGTAGTAAAGTCTTTTTTATGTTTTACCTACAGGTGAGCCTTTAACCACTTGCCCTTCTGAGGATTTACCCACCTTCCTGACCGTGCCATTTTTTGTGTTATGATGCTGCATTACTTTAACTGACAATTGCGCTGTCATGCAACGCTGCACCCAAATTAAATTGACATCCTTTTTTTCCCACGAAGTGAGCTTTCTTTTGGTGGTATTTGATTGCCTGTGCAGTTTTTATTTTTTCCACTATAAAAAAAAATACCAACAATTTCGAGAAAAAAACAATATTTTTGACTTTTTGCTATTAAACATGTCCAGTAAAAAAAAATTAAAAAATCAAATTTCGTCATAAATTTAGAGCAAAATGTGTTCTGCTACATTTCTTTGCTAAAAAAAAATCCCAATATGTGTAAATTAATTGGTTTACGTGAAAGTTATAGTGTTTACAAATGGCGGTAGAAATACTGAAATTTATTTTTAATTTTTACTAGTAATGGTGGCGATTAACAACTTATAGCGGGACTGCGGTGGGCATTCTGATAGTGGGAGGAACTGACTTGGTGTCACTGGCATCTCCAGTGACATCAATACACTAATCAGTGCTAAAGCAAGCACTGACACTGTACTAATGGCACTGGGCAGGAAGGGATTAACATGAGGGGCTATCAAAGGGTTAACTGTGTGCTGGGTGTATTTTATTATGGGGCCATGTGTTTGTGCTTCACTGTAATCACACTGCTTTGCATAGCTGTGATGCGCAAAGCCATCCAAAGCAGTGTGAACAAGCTGACAGGGAGGAGAACTGTTTTGTTTACAAACAGTTCTCCTCCCCATCGGAGATACTTGGCAATCACCGGGTGTCGGTGAGCAATCACCATGATTGACAGTCACGGCCGCAGATGTCACGGTGGGGATAAGGCATACATGCACCTCATTCGCTCCCAGCCCAGACATGAAAAATCACGTATATGTACATGATTTCGTGCACCTGTGCTGCCCTGTAGCAGTATATCTGCTATAGGGCAGTCGGGAAGAGGTTAATAAGGCTTACGTGAAGGTACTGTAATTATCTCCTAAACCTGCACCATTTAGGAGATATTTGCTTTAGCTGCGCCGGTGTGCCATCCATTGAGAGAGACTCCCATGTCATGGCTGAGACTCCCACACACATGTGCAGCAGTGACATCACTACAGCTCAGCCAGTCAAATGATCAAAGCATGCGAACCCAAAAGAAGACCAGGTGAAGATGGAAGCCCCAGGGAGCCATGACAGTGCTCCGCTGGAGGTCTTCATTGTCAGGTAAGAACTACAAAAACTAAGTGGAGAAATACTTTTGGATTTTCATAGCCTGGAGAAGACTCCTTGGGGCATGTAGGGTTAATATTAGTGTTCGCAGGGATCACCAAAAGCTCTAAAAGATCTATGCTATTACAACAGCTAAACAACTTGCCCTTATTGCATAGCCTGTGAAGTAAGGGTCCCAACACTGAACCTTGGGGTATACCACTGGCAACCCTAGACCATTCAGAGTATGAATCATTAACCACTACTGTCTGAATAAGATCTTTTAGCCAGTTTTCTATCCACTTACTGTACATACGGATTTTTCCCATCCTGTAGACTTTAGCTTACACATTAGCCGTGTGTGGGGAACTGTGTCAAACATTTTTACCAAATCCACGTATACCATGTCCACCGCCACCCCTCTGTCCAAGATTTTGCTCACCTCCTCATAAAAAGAAATCACATTTGTCTGAAAACTTCTGTCTTTCATGAATCCATGCTGAATTTTGCTTAAAATGTTTTTTTTTTTCTAGCAAAAACTCGTCTATGTGGTCCTTTATTAACCCAGTATCTTCCCAACTAAAGAAGTGAAACTAACAGGTTTGTAGTTACTTGGCAAATATTTTGTTCCCTTTTTAAAAAATAGTCACCACATTGGTAATTGGTAAGCTGCAATATATTAAGTGTTTGGTTTTAATACTGCTGTAATGATGCAGTACTGGATTTGTGTTGTTTTCACATGCACAGACGTTTGTTATGTTTTATTTGCCTCACAAGTCCTTTAATGGGACCCCCTTCTACCCCCAGGCCCCATGGTAGCTGAGAAAAGGGGAGGGCTGCCATGGCTATTGCTACACCACTGGATAGAAGAAAACACCAGAACACTCTGCAGCTATAGTCACTGAGGAATTTTATTAGACCCATTCAGATGGTCTTGCTGAACCTATTTCTTGATGCCCTATCTTATCCTATATATTATTCAGCTCGTTCAAGCTACAATACAATGTGATCTCAGTAATACTACTGTTTTTGTTTTTTTAGTAAAGTGATGCACTCAACCATTAAGGATACTCTGTGTTTAGAATAAAAACAAAATATATAGCTAAAAAAGTATAAAGTCAGATACCTATACAGTATGTGCATGCACATAACTCACATAACTGCAGCAGCTTCAGAAACCCTGCTGATATATCCGAATGCACAGGGGTGGACTGACCATTCAAGCACTCGGGCACTGCCCGAGGGCCCGGGCTCATTAGGGGGCCCCATGAGATGCCCCTGGTACCTTTCATTGGCTTTTTCATGGCTTTTTTGGATGTGGGCGAGGACACAGGGGCCCCATGAGTTGTCAGTCCACCCCTGCAAATGCATGGCTGTTCTGACAGTCAAAGATGTGCATGTTTAGGTCTCATTTGAGGCCAGTTTTGGATGTATGGTCTTTCAGCTCTTTGAGCTGCAAACTGCCCCTAGTTTTATATAGTAGTTTTTGTAGGTTTGTTAGTGTGTGTTTGTTGTGTTGCCAGCCTCACAGTTGGACTGCTTTGGGATGACCCATACATCTCAGAATCTGTATGACCTTGTTTCATGTAAAAAACAATTAAGAAAACAGGATTTTTTACTTACTGTAAAATCCTGTTTTTTGCAGTTCGTTAAGGGACACAGGTTCCACCAGTCTATCTTAGGATCACACCTCTACTCATTTTGGACAAAATTATAGCTTTGATTCCCAGTGTCCCTTTCCCTTAAAGGTGACAGTATAAATCATACATCTCAGAATCCTTTTGTCCATGTATCCCTTAAAGAATATGTGAACTCAAAATGTTATATTCCTGATATGTGCCTGCTGTACCATGTACTTGTATAAAAAAGTATCCTGTTATCTTTGTACTGCTTCCTTTGTGTGAAATCCCTTGTGTTCCTGCCAGTCTCTCTGCTTCCCTATTAAAAACTGACCACACTAATCAGGAGAACACACTGTGGTCAGTTCTCTAGCTGTGCTGGGAACTCAGCCTGCACTCCTCCAGTGATCAGACATATGCTGACATGCACCCCCTCCCCATCTCCCCGCACAGCCTTTAACTGGAAAGATCAGTGTTCTGCTGTTTCTCCTCCCCCAGCACTTATGCAGCCAAGAACAGAAAGAATGTGATCACTTATAAAAAGGGGAAAACAGGTATATACTGTATAATCTTTTTTATATCTCTACACAATGTTTTGCCTTTAATTTCCTGAAGGGTTGTTTTACATGGGGTGGGTTCACAATCACTTTAATGAACTGCACGAATAGGATTTTATGGGAAGTCAAAAATCCTGCTTTTTAATTAGGGGAAATGTTTTTACCTTGTTTCTTTAATGATAGGTTCAGTAAATTACCAGGTTGTTTCTTTTTAAAGCATTCTATATGTACTTACAGTATATAAACTCGAGCCACTCCAACAGTACTAACAATGCTTTCATGGTTATTTTAATGCCAATTTGATAAACATTTCTACTTCTAGAGACCAAAAACAAATATCTTACCAAGAACACTGAATTATTCTCATCAATCTCTATCCCTGCTTTGCTGGGAATCTAAAATCTTACCAACAGTCTCACACTAGTGACTTGAAACTGTAAAAATGGCCAGTGTTTTGCCTATGAATTATGCTTCTCTCTGCAGTCAGTTCTTGTTGACCCATGCAAAATGTTTTTTTTTTCATCCTGATGCCCAAGATTTCCTTCTGTTGAAGCTGTAATTATTTCTCTAGTGAGTCTTACACTGGCTAGCTAAAAACACAGTTCTGTGTGTGAGATGGATGCACCCAGGGGATCCCTAAAAACCTCCCCCACCTGATCACATAACATGGAATATGATATGTTTCCTTGACTGGGGCCCCCAACAATGACTGCAGTCTCTTATTTCAAAATCCAGGGCAGGCATTTCTTCTGTCAATGAATAAAAAATAATAATTTAAGGTGCAACTATGAGAAAAAAAAAAAAAAATATATATATATTATGAAGCTGCCCCTAATGTAGTGGATGACCACGTTGGTGTAGATGTATAGTATAAGTAGGTAGATGCTACATAAGAATAAGTGAAATGTGCAAGTATTTAGGAGGCTAGTATCACTACATGCCCCTAGGTAGAACCATTATAATTTGAATAGATTCTCAAGGTGTAGGCTATATTCCCATAATCTATACAGAAAACATATAAACCAAAAATTAAATAAATAAAAGTCCACAAGTGTAATTGAGCTTAAATAAAGGTGACAGTCCTTTCAACTTCTTTATACTGTGACCCAAACCAAAAAAGGTGACTTAAATCTGATACTGGTGCTGGTTTATAGGCACCATTCCATATGAGTGCAAAATTGTTTGCTTTACTATTTTAAGCTCATTTAATAAATACTGCACTTAAAAGGATATTTCATCTGTCTGGTTTATCTGAGTGGTCTGGCACTTTATCTGCGTAAGGATTAGTCCATATCTAACACCATAAAATCAATGGAAAGAAGTGAGCGCTATCCAAACAGCTGCTGTGCACGCAAAGTACCAACACAAGCCTTAAATAACAGAAAGAATAAATAGTGCAGCGCTAAAATTGACAATATGTATTCGCAGTGATTAAAGTATGATTCAATTTGAACAGTCTGTGCAGTTGTAAAAGTGCCACGTGACTGGTAGACTTAATGGTGGTGCTCCGTGATTAATAGCTGAATTGCGCACTCACCAGAAGTAAAATAATAATACGCGTTATATATTATTATATCCAGAAGTATCCTCATCAGGTAATGGTCTGGTCAAATTTGGTAGTCCTCCCTCAGGATGGTCATTCTCAGGTGCCCAGAAGTCAGGATTAATCGGATCCAGATAGCCAGAGGTCCCTGTTTAGGGGATGGGTGGAGCTGTCTGCTAACAGCAGGTCTTCCTCCTCTTGGCAAGGGCTCTGGAAATAAATACTCCTCTTTACTTTACTTCATCAGAAGTAACGTGGGCGTGATGTAACGCGTAAGGGGCTTGGCTCTGGGCAGACATGAATAGTGAGTTCAGCTGACAACATCTGATGATGATTTTATGGCATTTTATTCATTTACTACGTTTCTTTTTCTCCATGTGACTGGTCCCCTAAAGCCTCTTCTCTTCGGTGTTCTGTGCTGTTAATCCTTACAGTGTTCTTAAGTTTCATTAGTCAGTTGTGAGATGGGGAAACAAATTTCATTGAACACTGATTGAAGTAAATTAAAAACATTCTGACTGACATTCTGCAGTTTAGCCACAAGATGTCACTGTTTTTTCTAACACAGCCTCAGACTGCATAGAGATTTCTATATTCATGAAGGGGTGGGGTTTTTACACTTGGAGAGTGAACAGGAAAAGTAGAGGAGAGCAGCCATGCTTGAGAGAGAGAAGGGGGGTTGTGTGATCTGAGAATCCGATGCCATCCAGATGTGAGGACAGCCCTCCATAATCAGAAATTCAGTTGAGTGATGCTGATGGTGTTCAAGACGCTGATCCTGTTCAGAG